TTGTCATGCTGGAATACCCATCCACGACCCATTTTCAATGCCCTGGCTGAGGGAAGGAGGTTCTCACCCAAGATTTGACGGTACATGGCGCCGTCCATCGTCACTTTGATGCAGTGAAGTTGTCCTGTCCCCTTAGCAGAAAAACACCCCCAAAGCATAATGTTTCCACCTCCATGTTTGACGGTGGGGATGGTGTTCTTGGGGTCATAGGCAGCATTCCTCCTCCTCCAAACACGGCGAGTTGAGTTGATGCCAAAGAGCTCCATTTTGGTCTCATCTGACCACAACACTTTCACCCAGTTCTCCTCTGAATCATTCAGATGTTCATTGGCAAACTTCAGACGGGCCTGTATATGTGCTTTCTTGAGCAGGGGGACCTTGCGGGCGCTGCAGGATCAGTCCTTCACGGCGTAGTGTGTTACCAATTGTTTTCTTGGTGACTATGGTCCCAGCTGCCTTGAGATCATTGACAAGATCCTCCCGTGTAGTTATGGGCTGATTCCTTACCGTTCTCATGATCATTGCAACTCCACGAGGTGAGATCTTGCATAATCGCCCAACTGTTGTCATGGTCTTGTAGCCCATTCCAGCCTTGTGTAGGTCTACAATCTTGTCCTTTGACATCCTTGGAGAGCTCTTTGGTCTTGGCCATGGTGGAGAGTTTGGAATCTGATTGATTGATTGTTTCTGTGGACAGGTGTCTTTTATACAGGTAACAAACTGAGATTAGGAGCACTCCCTTTAAGAGTGTGCTCCTAATCTCAGCTCGATACCTGTATAAAAGACACCTGGGAGCCAGAAATCTTTCTGATTGAGATGGGGTCAAATACTTATTTCCCTCATTAAAATGCAAATCAATTTATAATATTTTTGACATGCGTTTTTCTGGATTTTTTTGTTGTTATTCTGTCTCTCACTGTTCAAATAAACCTACCATTAAAATTATAGACTGATCATTTCTTTGTCAGTGGGCAAACGTACAAAATCAGCAGGGGATCAAATACTTTTTTCCCTCACTGTAAGCCTCTGTACCTTGAGACCCAGGCTGACTCTGGCGTTTGTAACAACACAAAAGGGGACCACCCAAGTATGTGTAATGCCTTGATAATAAAAACTATAATAACATTGGTATGATAACAACAGTTTGTCACAACAGAATAATAGCAAAAATACTAATTTTTTTGTTAGTGGCGCTCCGACTCCAACTCCTATCTGATGGAAAAGGATGAACCAACCAACCAATGGCGATGCATCACTGAACTGAAAATTCAAACTGAAGCTGACAGTTGGTTGGAACTGGGAACAGAACAGATGGATGTACTGTAAACGCATAGTGAATTCCAGGGCTGGCCCACTGACAATCTAGATACAACTCCTGTTCAGGATATTTCCTATCCATCCTGTTGTCATCCTGCAGTTGAGAGTATAATTACATTTCTACTGCAGTTCAGTTCTGCAGCCCCAAAATACCAATGTTGTGGTGTCAACTATACTGAAAGCCCCCCCCTCCAAAAAATACCAATGTTGTGGTGTCAACTATACTCAACCCCCCCCCCCCCAATACTAACGTTGTGGTGTCAACTATACTGAACCCACCCCCCCCCCAATAAAAATACTAACGTTGTGGTGTCAACTATACTGATATACCCTCCTCAAATTCCAATGTTGTGGTGTGCAACTACACTGAAATACCCCCCCCCCAAATACCAATGTTGTGGTGTGTAACTGTTGCAATGGTGTGCAACTACCGACATTGAGTGCAACTACTGACATTGAGTGCAACTACTGACATTCAGTGCAACTACTGACATTCAGTGCAACTACTGAAATGGTGTACAACTACTGAAATGGTCCCGTGTAGCTCTGTTGGTAGAGCATGGCGTTTGCAACGCCAGGTTTGTGGGTTCGATTCCCACGGGGGGCCAGTATGAAAAAAAAATGTATGCACTCACTAACTGTTAGTCGCTCTGGATAATAGCATCTGCTAAATGACTAAAATGTAAATGGTGTACAACTATTGAAATACCCACCCTTCTCTTCAAATGAAGCAAGGTTGAAAAAGATAAGGTAAACTTTGAACAGTCTTATTAACTCTATCAGTCCTGAGACCCCAGCAAAAATCGTCTTTTCATTTATGTATCTGACTTTCATTTATCTGCATGTCCAGCCCTTATATTTAGCCTCATAATGAAGTGTTCTACCATGTTCTTTTCAGGACGATAAAAAAATAAAAAAAAGACTGCTGTTGTTACATCCACCGGATAGGCGCAGTGAAATGTGTTGTTTTACAGGGTCAGCCATAGTAGTACGGCACCCCTGGAGCCAATTAGGGTTAAGTGCCTTGCTCAAAGGCACATCGACAGATTTTACACCTTGTCGGCTCGGGTATTCAAACCTTTCGGTTAGTGGCCCAACGCTCTAACCACTAAGCTACCTGCCGCCCAAGTGGAACATTTAAACAGTTGCATTCATGAGTTTTATTGACAAATGTCAATAAACAAAATAAGATCCGTCAAAGCAAAAACCGAATAAAACAAACGTATATGAATGCTGTAAGTACAGAAATTGTTTGCTCAGTGGGAAATGAATGTCTAACTAGAGTGGCGCAGTGGTCTAAGGCATTGCATCGCAGTGCTAGCTGTGCCACTAGAGATCCTGGTTCGAGTCCAGGCTCTGTCGCGACCGGGAGACCCATGGGCGGCGCACAATTGGTCCAGCGTCGTCCAAGGTAGGGGAGGGTTTGGCCGGCAGCGATGTGGGTTCGTTTCCCACGGGGGGCCAATAAAAAAAATTAACATGTATGGACTCACTAACTGTAAGTCGCTCTGGATAAGAGCGTCTGCTAAATGACTAAAAATGTAAAACAAAAATGTAGTCAGTGACAACTGTGTGGAGTTTGTGACAGAAACTATATGAGCTTATTACAGTATTATAGACACTATGTCCTGGGATTTCCTATGATCTTTATGTAGAAGAACCCCTTCTAACGACTCGTGTGTCGCTTGTTGACATCATAGAGCAAAATATGTTCGCGAGAGTCTCAGCTTTTCATAGATAGGCTTTTAATAGTTTGTAGCTCAAACCATTCAGACAGACTTCATTGTAAAAAAGATCCAGCCCCTTTGGGTTCAGCCCCAAACACCGCTCTAGCTCAGACCCCTGTTAATCACACAGACTGACGGTTTGGTATCAATGGATGCAGATGAAATCCAAATCCAATGGTACAGAAGTCTGTAGCTCAAACAAACACAATATTTAAAAGGGGTTTAATAGTCCTAAATCACGCCGACGCGACAGTGGGACTCATTGGGTTAACAGATGACTCACCCTCTCTCTCTCTCTAACGCAGATTTAATGGAATTGGAGGGCTGAGATAATTGCAGATATGGTGGAGAATGTGATGAATATAACTAATGAGGTAAAATACTTCAACTACATGAATTGTCATAGTTAATCAGTTACGGGGCAACTAAAAGCGGAAATCAATTCAAGTATTGGATCGGATTGAATTGAATGTCCTTAGGCAAGGTTTAGTATGTAGTAGGTTTAGTATACCCACACACATGCACAGACGCAAGCAAGGATACACACACGCACACACACACGCAAAACGCACACACATACACGTGCACTCACAAACACACACACACACACACACGAGAAATGAGACCTCCATAGAATAATACATGTTCAAAATGATATTCAAATTTTATTATAATATGCTTTGTTAGATAAATAGAACAGCCCGTAACCTGGATAGATGGAGACTGGACTATCAGGCAATATGTATGTTTTATGTAGTACGGTTACAAAATTCCGGTAACTTTCCCAAAATTCCCAGGTCTTCCAGAAATCCCGGTCGGAGGATTTCCAGCCGGAAGATTCCCTCCTGATTCCTGGGATTTCTGAAAAACCTGGCAATGTTGGGAAAGTTACTGCAATTTTGCAACCCTATTCTGTAGTAAAGAAAACAAAACCGAAAAGGCTATACAGTAATAACAAAAACATTGATAATATGAGAATATCCATAAAATGTAATCTACTTTTACATCATCACCTCTACATATCGGTGTAATTGTGCTTTGATAATGACATATTTTTGCGACTAGAACACAGATACAGAACATTTCAAAACCCTCACAGAATTACAAGGAAAAACCGAAATTAACTGATTTCTGGAAAACTCCCCACGCTAAATGAATAGGCTGGAATAACACGTGTCGCTAGGGGATGATTTGGGATTATGGGATAGAGCACACATTCACAACATGGATGAATGAAAAAAAGGCGTGTTGTTGGAATGTGGTTCAGCTAGCTGGTGGATTCAACCAGGCTGGTCACACAAACCAACACATTTCATTACACACACACACACACACACACACACACGCACGCACACACACGCACGCACACGCACACGCACACACACATGCACACACACGCACACACACGATAATAGGAGGGGAGCGTCATCTTCCTTTACCTGTATCATCGAGGCAAACTTGGCAGCAATAATACAAAATAAAAAAAATGAACAAAATAAAAAAACGTAATACATGCAGGACGACATACAAGCATGCATTTACAAGATGAGACCTGAAAAGTTCACCATACGTTGTTACTAAATGGTAGAACTCTCTACCATCCTCTCCCTAAATGCTTCCACTACTCATCTTGATTGTTGTTGATGTAACCCATTGTGGAGATGGCTACATTCTCAAGACAGACAGAGAGACTTCCACTGGAACTGCACCCCTATGAAGCCCCTACGAAGCCCCTGTGAAGCACCTATGAAGCCCCTACGAAGCCCCTATGAAGCATCACAGCAGTTATGGTGCTACATCTATAGTGAAGTTCAGTGAAGAACTACATTCCTCTACTGACCAGGGTTGGGGTCAATTCCATTCCAATTCAGTCAATTCAGGAATGGAATTGTCTAAATTGAAATGGAATTGATCCCAACCATACTACTATCCTAATAGGCCAGCCATCAGCGACTGACAGTAAAGGCATGGGGCTCTGTTGATGTTGTCTGTACAGTGTTGTGTCTGTACAGTAGTTAGATGCATTTCCCATATCTCTCTGTTTTAGAGTGAGAAGTCCATATTTGCAATGTGTTCTTGAAGAGTAGAGTCTTTGTTTCCTGGTTCTATTCCAAACATAGAGATAGAACATTCAGGATTTACTTCTAGGATTGCAAATTCCAAAAAAATTACCAGAACTTTTACAGATATATATATGTTTGGAATAATCTTCTTCTTCTCCACTTGATGTGATTGTTGATATTTTCCCCCTCCTCTCAGAGAGTAAGAAAAGTTTCCATATTGAGAATCCGTTCACGTCAGATATTCTTGTTGTATGGTTGACTTTGGTTGCATTCTGCCAGCCAGGTTATTCCTCCTTCTTCCTCCTGTCCTGATTGGCTCAGGTACTTCCTGCTTTCTCCTGAATGGCTCAGCACGTGAAGTCTTCGAAGTTGCCCTGCGCTGGATGGTGAGGTAACATGTTGGCAGGATACGTACCCGGCGTGCGCAGGTTCTCACAGGGCGCCTGAGGGAGGAGCGAAGAGGAAGGGAGGAGCGAAGAGGAAGGAGAGACATGAATAACACGTCCGGTAGTAGTGAGGAGTGACCATACTGTAGTGGAATGAAACCAAAGAGAAAATACTGCCAAAAATCACCCTTTCATTTTATAGTGCACTACTTAGTCTAAAGTAGTGCACTATATAGAGAATAAGGTGCCATTTGAAAGGAAACTGTTTTGGGGTCAGAAAGAAAGGCAGAAGTACTGGTGCCGTGTGGAGGGAAAGAAAGATAATGGATTAAACGGAGGAACGCAGGGTAAAGGAGGTTGAAATAACTCCATGCAGCGAACCAACCGTTTCTCTCTCTCCCTCCCTACCTCCCTCCCCAGTCCTCAAGCTACAATTAGACTGAACTGAACTGGCTCCACTTACACTCTTAGAAAAAAATGTGCTATTTAGATCTAAAATGGTTATTTGTCTGTCCTCATTGGAGAACCCTTTGTAGACCCATTTTTGGTTACAGGTATAACCATTTTTGGTTCCAGGTAGAACCCTTCTGGTTACAGTTAGAACCCTTTTGGGTTCCATGTAGGACCTTTTCCGCAGAGGGTTCTAAATGGAACCTGAAAGGGTTCTACGTGAAACCAAAAAGGGTTCTCCCTGCAACCAAAAAAGGTTATCCTATGGGGACAGCCAAAGAACCCTTTTGGAACCCTTTTTTCTAAGAGTGCGCACTTGAAAATCAGGAGCTGTCACCCCCCCCCAGCTCTCATTGTAAACCCACTAGGCTGGCCCTGTAGACCATCTGTGATTAAAGTGAAACCATTTCCACCCTCTCTCTATTTCTCTCTCACACAATCTCTCCCTTTCTTTGGCTCTCTGTCTGTCTTTCTCTCTCTCTATTCCTTTCTTTGGCTCTCTGTCTTTCTCTCTCTCCCCCCCCCCCCCATCTATCCTGTATCGGTCCAACAATTCTTCCAGACACTGCAAATACTTAGCCAGAGATAGAGCTAGCCTACTGACATGGCGTTTGACGTCGTCCAGACTCAGAACTGTTCCCCGGTCGTTGCTGTTGCTGCGTTTGTGTTTCTTATTTGAGCACCGACACAGCTTGTACTTGATCACCTGCAAACAAGCAAACATAGTAGCTGGTCTTTGAAGCAGTGCCTCAGAGGAACAGACTTTTGGAATGCAGCCAACTGACTGTTCACTGTTAATCTGTTTTCCTTTTTTAAAAACGGACTATTGGTGAACGGTTTTCGTTGTTTAATACTGGATTCTTATTGAGACTAATGAATATTGTAATGAGAAAGTTCTATAATTCAAAGACGATTGATGGTACACATTTATAAATGATTTCCAATGGCAGTAATGCGTACAATAATGAAATAAGCTACTGATCCCAGTTTTTTCCCATCAAGAAGTCATTAAAACTAACAAAAAATGATTACATTTTAAATTAAAATGTTTTATATAGATAGAATTAATCATGAGTACATGAACATACTGTAAACAGAAAGAGCGAATGCTGAAACACACCCTTGTAGAACAGGCAGCTATTCTACCCAGGGAGGTTGTTGCTCTGATAAAAACCGACAGGAACAGAAGCATCCTAACTGAATCCCAAATACAATATGTCTAAAATGTTAATGTAGTCAACAGTGCTACAACAGTGCTGCGCCTGAGAGAGATGAGCTGCTTTCAGACACCTGGAAATGAATGATCTGCAAGCTCGTTTTAAGGTGTGTGGCTAGTTTTAACGGGATACATGTAGTTCACTTTTTTTTTTTAAGTGTAGCTTAAAAAACTTCCCTAGGGTGTTGTTTCCTCCAGACAGTTGTTAAACCAGTTAGCTGGTTACTAAGCAACATCCACAATAAATTGGTTAGCATTTTTGGAGAATGCAGCAATGCTAGTGGAAATGGATTGTTTCTGTGTGGCTGGCTAGTTCTACGGCCTGTGGCTGTCCATCACTCAACTAAACATATTGCCCTGAGAGAATCATGTAAATGAAGGATATTTACATACATTTACATATATACTACCATTACCTGGAGGCAAACATTCTCTAGGAAACCTAGATGCAAGCAAAAAGCCAAGACATAAACAAATACCTAAGTATGCCTTCGGTGAACTGTTTCAGGACACACCGGATTAGATTTTGAAGAAAGATCTGACAGGAAACCTAGAAACATTTTACATTTACAAAATGAAGGCTTACCTCATATAGGTAGTCAAAGAGTTCTAGGATGGTGAGGATACTGGCACCTATGAAGAGACCCATCTGACCACCAATATCACCTGAAAACACATGAAGAGACCCATCTGACCACCAATATCACCTGAAAACACATGAAGAGACCCATCTGACCACCAATATCACCTGAAAACACATGAAGAGACCCATCTGACCACCAATATCACCCGAAAACACGAAGCACATGAAGAGACCCATCTGACAACCAATATCACCCGAAAACACGAAGCACATGAAGAGACCCATCTGACCACCAATATCACCCGAAAACACGAAGCACATGAAGAGACCCATCTGACCACCAATATCACCCGAAAACACGAAGCACATGAAGAGACCCATCTGACAACCAATATCACCCGAAAACACGAAGCACATGAAGAGACCCATCTGACCACCAATATCACCCGAAAACACGAAGCACATGAAGAGACCCATCTGACCACCAATATCACCCGAATACACGAGCACATGAAGAGACCCATCTGACCACCAATATCACCCGAAAACACGAAGCACATGAAGAGACCCATCTGTCCACCAATATCACCCGAAAACACGAATCACATGAAGAGACCCATCTGACCACCAATATCACCCGAAGACACGAAGCACATGAAGATACCCATCTGACCAACAATACCACCCGAAAACACGAAGCACATGAAGAGACCCATCTGACCACCAATATCACCCGAAAACACCAAGCACATGAAGAGACACATCTGACCACCAATATCACCTGAAAACACATGAAGAGACCCATCTGACCACCAATATCACCTGAAAACACATGAAGAGACCCATCTGACCACCAATATCACCCGAAAACACAAAGCACATGAAGAGACCCATCTGACCACCAATATCACCTGAAAACACATGAGAGACCCATCTGACCACCAATATCACCTGAAAACACATGAAGAGACCCATCTGACCACCAATATCACCCGAAAACACCAGGCACATGAAGAGACCCATCTGACCACCAATATCACCTGAAAACACATGAAGAGACCCATCTGACCACCAATATCACCTGAAAACACATGAAGAGACCCATCTGACCACCAATATCACCCGAAAACACGAAGCACATGAAGAGACCTATCTGACAACCAATATCACCCAAAACCACGAAGCACATGAAGAGACCCATCTGACCACCAATACCACCCGAAAACACGAAGCACATGAAGAGACCCATCTGACCACCAATATCACCCGAAAACACGAAGCACATGAAAAGACCCATCTGACCACCAATATCACCCGAATACACGAGCACATGAAGAGACCCATCTGACCACCAATATCACCCGAAAACACGAAGCACATGAAGAGACCCATCTGTCCACCAATATCACCCGAAAACACGAATCACATGAAGAGACCCATCTTACCACCAATATCACCCGAAGACACGAAGCACATGAAGATACCCATCTGACCAACAATACCACCCAAAAACACGAAGCACATGAAGAGACCCATCTGACCACCAATATCACCCGAAAACACCAAGCACATGAAGAGACACATCTGACCACCAATATCACCTGAAAACACATGAAGAGACCCATCTGACCACCAATATCACCTGAAAACACAAAGCACATGAAGAGAGCCATCTGACCACCAATATCACCTGAAAACACATGAAGAGACCCATCTGACCACCAATATCACCTAAAAACACATGAAGAGACCCATCTGACCACCAATATCACCTGAAAACACATGAAGAGACCCATCTGACCACCAATATCACTTGAAAACACGAAGCACATGAAGAGACCCATCTGACCACCAATATCACCCGAAAACACGAAGCACATGAAGAGACCCATCTGACCACCAATATCACCCGAAAACACGAAGCACATGAAGAGACCCATCTGACCAACAATACCACCCGAAAACACGAAGCACATGAAGAGACCAATCTGACCACCAATATCACCCGAAAACACCAAGCACATGAAGAGACCCATCTGACCACCAATATCACCTGAAAACACATGAAGAGACCCATCTGACCACCAATATCACCTGAAAACACATGAAGAGACCCATCTGACCACCAATATCACCCGAAAACACGAAGCACATGAAGAGGCCCATCTGACCACCAATATCACCCGAAAAAACCAAGCACATGAAGAGACCCATCTGACCACCAATATCACCTGAAAACACATGAAGAGACCCATCTGACCACCAATATCACCCGAAAACACATGACGAGACCCATCTGACCACCAATATCACCCGAAAACACATGAAGAGACCCATCTGACCAACAATATCACCTGAAAACACATAAAGAGACCCATCTGACCACCAATATCACCCGAAAACACATGACATACATGATGAAACATGCATGATGAAAATATACATGATGAAAAATATTTGACATTTTTCAGGCAAGGGCTGGGTGCCTGGAACCTGAAACGTTGGTTCCACAGTAAATTAAGTAATATTGAGTTACTTTTTTAATTCACGGGCTAAAACATAATTTAAAAAGTTTGTTTTCAGGTATAATGACACACCTCAGGGTGGTTAATGGCAATTTTATTAAAACTTATAATAACTATATTTGCAATTATGTTCAGCAATTTCCATACAACTGCTGACGAGCGTTTTCTTACCAAGCAATCCAGCAAACTCGTAAGCTTTCGTCTGCTCGATGGTCTCGTAGTTCAGAGCCTCAAAGAAGATATCCAGAACCAGGATGTTATCACTGTCAACAAAGAGAAGAGGAGGAAGAGGAGGAAGAAGATAATTTATTGTCTATTGTAAAATGACACAGCCATTAGTCTTTTTGTGTTATCCTAACCCCCTAAGACACCCAGACCTTAGAGCACCGGGTCAGCCACACTGCAGCACCCCTGGAGCAGTTTAGGGTTTAAGTGTCTTGATCAAGGGCACAACAGCAGGAGAGGGCATCTAGGACCCATCAGTAAAACCATGTTTCAGGTTGAGCAAATCATTTGTGTGTGTGTGTGTAATTTGCCTTCAGATAATTTCCTCCTGGCTTGGATAGGCCATTGAGGGAAACATACGAAGGAAATGTTTCCTGTTGTGATTTCACTGTACTGTACTATACACAATATATACAGCAGTATGTGGACACACATTTAAATTAGTGTATTGGGCTATTTCAGCCACACCCGTTGCTGACAGGTGTATAAAATGAAATAAAACTGTCTGTCCTCGGTTGCAACACTCACTACCGAGTTCCAAACTGCCTCTGGAAGCAACGTCAGCACAAGAACTGTTCGTCGGGAACTTCATGGAATGGGTTTCCATGGCCGAGCAGCCGTACACAAGCCTAAGATCACCATGCGCAATGTCAAGTGTCGGCTGGAGTGGTGTAAAGGTCGCCGCCATTGGACTCTGGAGCAGTGGGAACGCATTCTCTGGAGTGATGAATCATGCTTTACCATCTATCAGTCCGACGGACGAATCTGGGTTTGGCGGATGCCAGGAGAACGCTACCTGACCGAATGCATAGTGCCAACTGTAAAGTTTGGTGGAGAAGGAATAATGGTCTGGGGCTGTTTTTCGTGGTTCGGGCTAGGCCCCATAGTTCCAGTGAAGGGAAATCTTAACGCTACAGCATACAATGACATTCTAGATGATTCTGTGCTTCCAACTTTGTGGCAACAGTTTGGGGAAGGCCCTTTCCTGTTGCAGCATACAGAAATGGTTTGTCGAGATCGGTGTGGAAGAACTTGACTGGCCTGCACAGAGCCCTGACCTCAACCCCATCGAACACCTTTGGGATGAATTGGAATGCCGACTGCGAGCCAGGCCTAATCGCCCAACATCAGTGCCCGACCTCACTAATGCTCTTGTGACTGAATGGAAGAAAGTCCCCACAGCAATGTTCCAACATCTAGTGGGAAGCCTTCCCTGTTATAGCAGGGGGGACCAACTCCATATGAATGCCAATGGTTTTGGAACGAGATGTTCGACAAGCAGGTGTCCACATACTTTTAGTCATGTAGTGTATCTGTCCCTCATCTCTCTGTCTGTCCCTCATCTCTCTCTCTCTCATCTCTCTCTCCTCTCTCTCTCTTCTCCTCTCTATCTCATATACATCTCAGTATCATATATATATCAGATATCTCTTCTCTCTCTATCTCTCTCTATCTCTATCTAGTCGCTCCTCTATCTCTAATCTCTCGTCTTCTCTCATATATTATATAGCTCTAATCTCTCTCATCAGCTCCTCTCTCTCTATCATATATCTCTCTGAGGCGATATCTCTAGGCGGCGCCTATCGAGAGACTCCATCTCTCGCGCGCCTCTATAGCGCTCTCTCTCTCCTCGCTCTATCCCTCTCTCTAGCTCGCTCTATAGGCGCTCGTCCGCCTCTAATTCTCGCTCTCTCTAATCTCTCTCGCGCAAGCTCTCTCTCTCAGCTCTATCCTCGCTCTTCTAATCTCTCTCTCTCTCTCATCTCTCTCTCTCTCTCTCTAATCTCTCTCTCTCGCTCTCTCTCTCTCCCATCTCTCTCTCTCTCATATCTTTCTATCGATCATCTTTCTCTATCATCTCTCTCTATCTATCTCCCTTTCTCTCTCATCACTCTTTCTCTTATCTCAGGTAGTTTAGTGGTTAAGAGCGTAGTGCCAGTAACCGAAAGGTCGCTGGTTCTAATCCCCGAGCCGACTAGGTGAAAAATCTGTCGATGTGCCCTTGAGCAAGGCACTTAACCCTAATTGCTCCTGTAAGTCGCTCTGGATAAGAGCGTCTGCTAAATGACTAAAATGTAAAATGTAATGTCTGTAGAATATCAAGCAGGGATTACTGTACGTCAAGGCCTCGGGCACAGTGGATTATTTCGTTTCTGAATATCTGGTAAACAAGTGTTGTATCGAGCTATAGGAATCCAACTGCAGTCAGACTCCTAGTGTATGTCACAAAACTGCACCCTATTCCCTAAATAGTGCGCTACATAGGGAATAGGGTGCCATTTGGGCCATCAACAATACAGCTGTTTCTCTCTGATGCTGTTCTCAGATGATAAATCAAAAGATAAATGTTTAAATACCACTATCATGGCTTTGACAGAAATAAAAACACGATAATTCTGCAGTCAATCAGAAAATACTTTTGATGTTCACAAACAAGACTTTGTGATCTGAATCACATATAGAATGTAGAACATGTATAATCTGAATCACATATAGAATGTAGAACATGTATAATCTGAATCAACTATAGAATGAAGAACATGTATAATCTGATCACATAAGAATGTAGAACATGTATAATCTGAATCACATATAGAATGAAGAACATGTTAATCTGAATCACATATAGAATGTAGAACATGTATAATCTGAATCACATATAGAATGAAGAACATGTTATAATCTGAATCACATATAGATGTAGAACATTATATAATCTGAACCCACATATAGATGTTAGAACATGTATAATCTGAATCACATATAGAATGTATGGAACATGTATATCTGAATCACATATAGAAGTAGGAACAGTATAATTGAATCACATATAGAATGTAGAACATGTATAATCTGAATCACATATAGAATGAAGAACATGTTAATCTGAATCACATATAGATGTAGAACATGTATAATATGAATCACATATAGAATGTAGGAAACTGTATGAATATGAATCACATATAGAATGTAGGAACATGTATTAATCTGAATCAACATATAGAATGTAGAACATTGTATTAATATGAATCACATAAGAATGAGAACATGTTATAATCTGAATCACATATAGAATGTAGAACATGTATAATCTGAAATCACATATAGAATGAAGAAACATGTATAATCTGAATCACATATAGAATGTAGAACATGTATAATCGAATCACATATAGAATGAAGAACATGGTATAATCTGGAATCACATATAGAATGTAGAACATGTATAATATGAATCACATATGAATGTAGAACATGTATAATATGAATCACATATAGAATGTAGAAACATGTATAATCTGAATCACATATAGAATGTAGAAACATGTATAATCTGAATCACATATAGAATGTAGAACATGTATAATCTGAATCACATATAGAATGAAGAACATGTATAATCTGAATCACATATAGAATGTGAACATGTATAATCTGAATCACAATAGAATGAAGAACATGTATAATCTGAATCACATATAGAATGTAGAACATGTATAATCTGAATCACATATAGAATGAAGAACATGTATAATCTGAATCACATATAGAATGTAGAACATGTATAATCTGAATCACATATAGAATGTAGAACATGTATAATCTGAATCACATATAGAATGTAGAACATGTATAATCTGAATCACATATAGAATGTAGAACATGTATAATCTGAATCACATATAGAATGTAGAACATGTATAATCTGAATCACATATAGAATGAAGAACATGTATAATCTGAATCACATATAGAATGTAGAACATGTATAATATGAATCACATATAGAATGTAGAACATGTATATCTGACTCACATATAGAATGTAGAACATGTATAATATGAATCACATATAGAATGTAGAACATGTATAATATGAATCACATATAGAATGTAGAAACATGTATAATCTGAATCACATATAGAATGTAGAACATGTATAATATGAATCACATATAGAATGTAGAACATGTATAATCTGAATCACATATAGAATGTAGAACATGTATAATCTGAATCACATATAGAATGAAGAACATGTATAATCTGAATCACATATAGAATGTAGAACATGTATAATCTGAATCACATATAGAATGAAGAACATGTATAATCTGAATCACATATAGAATGTAGAACATGTATAATATGAATCACATATAGAATGTAGAACATGTATAATATGAATCACATATAGAATGTAGAACATGTATAATCTGAATCACATATAGAATGTAGAACATGTATAATATGAATCACATATAGAATGTAGAACATGTATAATCTGAATCACATATAGAATGTAGAACATGTATAATCTGAATCACATATAGAATGTAGAACATGTATAATCTGAATCACATATAGAATGAAGAACATGTATAATCTGAATCATATATAGAATGAAGAACATGTATAATATCAACAAGTTATTGTTGATACTACTAATAATCTCTTGAGATATTACATCTACAATCTACAAATGTATAACTTTACACTCCCTTGTCTAGGAGGGAAATATCCAAATTAGTTTTTAGTTTAGTTACAAACTCCCTGACATTCTCTCTCTCTCTCTATCTCGCTGCAATTTCTCCTCTGATTTGCAGGAGCGGCTGTGTGTTACGTGTCAGTGTGTGTTACGTGTCAGTGTGTGTTACGTGTCAGTGTGTGTGTCACGTCGTCTCCAGACAAACGCCTGTCAGCTCCTCTCATTACTCATCTGGTTAACCTGGGATCTCTGACCAACTGGGACGGTCTGACACACACACACACACACACACACACACACACACACACACACACACACACACACACACACACACACACACACACACACACACACACACACACACACACACACACACACACACCTAGAGCAGCTGGCATAACAGCAACAATCAGACAAGCCCACCTTCTAGTGCCCAGCGAACAACCATCCCCTGTCTCTGTCTCTGTCTCTGTCACACACACACACACACACACACACACACACACACACACGCACACACGCACGCACACACGCACACACGCACACACGCACACACGCACACACATGCACACACGCACACACGCACACACGCACACACATGCACTCGCAAACTAGACCTCTCTCTCTCAAGACATATTCATGCAAATTCATTCCAATCTGATTCACCTCTAAACAGACTGGAGGAAGAGAAGGAAACATTTTCTATCCACTGAGAATTTAGATCATGTCGATGATGAATTTGTCTGAGGGAACTGACTCACTGTAATGCATTTGCTGTTTTGTCTGTTTGAAGTCGTTTAACCTCTAAATAAGCATCATGCAATGCGTGATAACACACAATCTGAATCACCTGACCGACTGTCATGGTGATCATTAACAATACAACTTTAAACTTTCACAAGAAAACAATTTACAGAGCGCGCTACAGGTATTTTTAAACCCACTTTTTTGGGGGATATGATTCTTCATATTGTCCTTTATTTAAATGTCCACACTTGACAGATAGATAAGGAGCAGACAGGTAAACTTACGCACCTGACAGATAGATAAGGAGCAGACAGGTAAACTTACGCACCTGACAGATAGATAAGGAGCAGACAGGTAAACTTACGCACCTGACAGATAGATAAGGAGCAGACAGGTAAACTTACGCACCTGAAAGATAGATAAGGAGCAGACAGGTAAACTTACGCACCTGACAGATAGATAAGGAGCAGACAGGTAAACTTACGCACCTGACAGATAGATAAGGAGCAGACAGGTAAACTTACGCACCTGACAGATAGATAAGGAGCAGACAGGTAAACTTACGCACCTGACAGATAGATAAGGAGCAGACAGGTAAACTTACGCGATGTACTGCTCTGTCTTGTTGTACTTCTTGGCCAGGTACTTGGCCGAGGCCTTACTGGGGATCTTGACGAAGGACATCTCCTTTCCAAAGCGCGTCATGCTGCAGGGTGTCTCACACACACAGTAGTCATTATCCCTCTCCACCAGGAAGTCTACAAGGGGACACAACAAGGGGACAGTGTCCTTTATAGCACCCTATATAGTAGCACTACAGCATGTTGCAGGGCGTGAGAAACAGACAATCCACTCAGCAAAAAAATGGTTGAATCAACATTGTCATTCCACGTCATTTCAACCAAAAACATCTGTGAGGACATTGAATCAACACGGAAAACTGACTGGATTTGCAAAAAAAAGTCATCAATGTAAGGGCATTTTGTCTATTTTTCAGCCAACTTTTAACCTAAATCCAATGACATTTTTTGTTGATTTCACGTTGAATTCACGTTAGTTGACAACTCAACCAAATGTAAATCAAAACTAAATGTTGAGCTGACGTCTGTGCCCAGTGGGAAAGCCCTGTTTAGGTAGAAAGAGACAGGGGACAACTTAAGGGGATACATAGATAGAGCGAGAGAGAGAGAGAGAGAGAGAGAGCGAGAGAGTGAGAGCGAGAGAGAGAGAGAGAGAGAGATACACACTACATGACCAAAAGTATGTGGACACCTACTCGTCAAACATCTCATTCCAAAATCATGGGCATTAATATGGAGTTGGTCCCCCCTTTGCTGCTATAACAGCCTCCACTCTTCTGGGAAGGCTTTCCACAATGTTGGAACATTGCTGCGGGGACTTGCTTCCATTAGTGGAGCATTAGTGAGGTCAGCACTGATGTTGGGCGATTAGGCCTAGCTCACAGTCGGTGTTCCAATTCATCCCAAAGGTGTTAGATGGGGTTGAGGTCAGGTCTCTGTGCAGGCCAGTCAAAAACCTCCACACTGATCTCGACAAACCATTTCTGTATGGATCTTGCTTTGTGCACGGACCGAGACTGGAGGTTTTACTTACCCAAGGCGGGGTCGGCACACTCCTTGTACTGCTCTGGGGTGCAGTAAGGGGCATCTCCTGAGGAAAACATGACACAGACAGAACACAACATCCTGGATGAGGGGACATCTCTGTCTGTCATTACAACTCCTCTTTCTCTCTTGATTTATTTCATCTTTCTTATCTGCCCAGAGAACTTCTCCCAATTTAATTATTGATTTTTATTAACACTGGTGTCCTTTCATGTTCTCTAGATTGCACAAGCTCTTCTATTAGTGAGAACACAGTTAGAGACACACAACAACATGATGTCCTAGATACAGTGAATTAGCTCCCTCCTGTCGTATACCTATTGTTATTCAGATCCCTGCCACACTGTTCAAATCCAGTAAATGACACCGGCAGGTCTGGAGTGATGAGGATTAATTAATGAGCTCATGACAGAAGCTACAGAGGAGGACAATGCCCCAAACAACACCCTATTCCCTATGTAGTGCCCTACTTTTGACCAGGGCCCTAGTCAAAAGTAGTGCACTATTATAGGGAATATTGTGCCATTTGGGACAAAGTGGAGGAGGGTGCTTCACAGTGCAGATGACTGATGGATACGCTGGGGACAAGTGTCTTCCATAGCACACAGAATAACTACTGAGATACACTGCTACTGCTACTTCTAACAAGCATCAATTACAGGTGTTGATTATAGGAACAATTCAGAATAAAAGCTAGATTCCACATTTAGATAGCACAGGCTGACAACCATTTTGTAGGAATGAATCATAATAAAAACTAGATTTGACAATTAGATCTATTCAGGAAATAAGTAGAACCGATATTAAAATTGTATCTCTGGCCTCAACACTGATCAGGCTGACAAACATTGGCATTAGCAATTGTTCTGACAAATCCAGCACAACCAATGTAGTGTGTTACTACCCCAAGGTGAACCAATGTAGTCTGTTACTACCCCACAGGTGGAACCAATGTAGTGTGGTTTACTACCCCAAGGTGAACCAATGTAGTGTGTTACTACCCCAAGGTGAACCAATGTAGTGTGTTACTACCCCAAGGTTGAACCAATGTAGTGTGTTACTACCCAAGGTGAACCAATGTAGTGTGTTACTACCCCAAGGTGAACCAATGTAGTGTGTTACTACCCCAAGGTGAACCAATGTAGTGTGTTACTACCCCAAGGTGAACCAATGTAGTGTGTTACTACCCCAAGGTGAACCAATGTAGTGTGTTACTACCCCGAGGTGAACCAATGTGGTGTGTTACTACCCCAAGGTGAACCAATGTAGTGTGTTACTACCCCAAGGTGAACCAATGTAGTCTGTTACTACCCCAAGGTGAATACTTTCACAAGCCACTGTAAATCTACTGAACCATAGCAGTGTGACGACACGTTTTTCACATCTTTGTTTGTGACTCTGAGTCATGGTTCCCTATAGCGTCAGTGACATAGAGGATAACTCAGCACTTGGCAGGCGAAATGTTCCTCCATTTTATCTTTTTCTAGGGGCCTCTCTGCCTCAAGGGCAGGAATTAATTTAAGTTTAGGCAAGAAATGTGATTGGTTAAGTTTATAGTTAGTGGTTTGGGGTGGGGTATCGAACCAGCAACGTTGTGTATGGCAACCCGCCCCACAAGTTGAGCTTTTTTGGAAAACTCCACTGAGCCAGGACTTGGCTGATGCATGTGTACCAGTTGTAATTTTACAGGTATCATGTGTGTATGTGTAAATGAGAGAGAGAGAGAGAGAGAGAGAGAGAGAGAGAGAGAGAGAGAGAGAGAGAGAGAGAGAGAGAGAGAGAGAGAGAGAGAGAGAGAGAGAGAGAGAGAGAGAGAGTAGCTTTGACTAAGTACAGACTCAATTAGCATAGCCTTGCAATTGAGAAAGGCTGCCGTAGGCAGACCTGGCTCTCAAGAGAAGATAGGCTATGTGCACACTTCCCACAAGATGAGGTGGAAACTGAGCTGCACTTCCTAACCTCCTGCCAAATGTATGACCATATTAGAGACACATATTCCCCACAAAGAATTCGAAAACAAACCCAATTTTGATAAACTCCAATATCTATTCGGTGAAATACCACAATGTGCCATCACAGCAGCAAGATTTGTGAAGAACAAACACCATTGTAAATACAACCCACATTTATGTTGATGTTGATTTATTTTCCCTTTTGTACTTTAACTATTTGCACATCATTATATTATTTATTATCATATAGACATAATATGACATTTGAAATGTCTTTATTATTTTGGAACTTTTGTGAGTGTAATGTTTACTGTTATTTTTTTAATATATTTTTTTCACTTTTGTTTATTATCTATTTAACTTGCTTTGGCAATATAAACATATGTTTCCCATGCCAATATTGCCCCTTAAATTGAAATTGAAATTGAAATTGAGAGAGAGAGGCTCCTACCAGGCATGTGCACCATGCGGCAGTTGCAGTTCTCCACCAGGTAGCGTGTCTCACAGTCGATACGGCAGGCCGTGAGGCTATAGGAGCTGAAGAAGTCAGAGTCCATGGGAGTGGACTTGCAATCCCCCCATGGAGGAGGCAGGTACGTCAGCTACAGAAGAGAGAAAGAGAGAGAGAGAGAGAGAGAGAGAGAGAGAGAGAGAGAGGTCAGAAGAAGTCTGAGTCAATGGGGGAGAAAGGAACGTTAGCTATAGAGGAGAGACAGAGAGATGTAAGGACATACAGTGCATACCCCTTGAACTTTTCCACATTCTGTTATGTTACAGCCTTATTCTAAAATTGATTAAATACACATTTTTCCTCATCAATCTACACACAATACCCCATAATGACAAAGCGAAAACAGGTTTTTAGAAATGTTTGCTAATTTATTAAAAATAAAAAACAGAAATACCTTATTTACATAAGTATTCAGACCCTTTGCTATAAGACTTGAAATTGAGCTCAGGTGCATCCTGTTTCCATTGAACATCCTTGAGATGTTTCTACAACTTGATTGGACTCCACCTGTGGTAAATTCAATTGATTGGACATGATTTGGAAAGGCACACACCTGTCTATATAAGGTCCCACAGTTGACAGTGCATGTCAGAGCAAAAACCAAGCCATGAGGTCAAAGGAATTATCCGTAGAGCTCCAAGACAGGATTGTGTTGAGGCACAGATCCGGGGAAGGGTACCAAAACATTTCTGCAGCATTGAAGGTCCCCAAGAACACAGTGGCCTCCATCATTCTTAAATGGAAGAAGTTTGGAACCACAAAGACTCTTCCTAGAGCTGGCCGCCCGGTCAAACTGAGCAATCGGGGGAGAAGGGCCTTGGTCATGGAGGTGACCAAGAACCCGATGGTCACTCTGACAGAGGTCCAGAGTTCCTCTGTGGCGATGGGAGAAGCTTCCAGAAGGACAAACATCTCTGCAGTACTCCACCAATCAGGCCTTTATGGTAGAGTGGCCAGACGGAAGACACTCCTAAGTAAAAGGCATATGAGAGCCCACTTGGAGTTTGCCAAAAATCACCTAAAGGACTCTCAGACCATGAGAAACAAGATTCTGTGGTCTGATGAAACCAAGATTAAACTCTTTGGCCTGAATGCCAAGCGTCACGTCTGGAGGAAACCTGGCACCATGCCTACGGTGAAGCATGGTCGTGGCAGCATCATGCTGTTGGGATGTTTTTCAGCGGCAGGGACTGGGAGACTAGTCAGGATTGAGGGAAAGATGAACGGAGCAAAGAACAGAGAGATCCTTGATGAAAACCTGCTCCAGAGCGCTCAGGACCTCAGACTGGGGCAAAGGTTCACCTTCCAACAGGACCACGACCCTAAGCACACAGCCAAGACAACACAGGAGTGGCTTCGGGACAAGTCTCTGAATGTCCTTGAGTGGCCCAGCTAGAGAGCCCAGACTTGAACCCGATCGAACATCTCTGGAGAGACCTGAAAAGAGCTGTGCAGTGACACTCCCTATCCAACCTGACAGAGCTTGAAACAATCTGCAGAGAAGAATGGGAGAAACTCCCCAAATACAGGTGTGCCAAGCTTGTAGCATCATACCAAAGAAGATTTGAGGCCGTAATCGCTGCCAAAGGTGCTTCAACAAAGTACTGAGTAAAGGGTTTGAATACTTACGTAAATGTGATATCAGTTTTCTTTATTTTTTATAAATGTGCAAACATTTATAAAAAAAATTTGCACATGGTTCAAAGAGGGGATTACTGAGTGTACCAACACACGTTAACTAAACACATAGACCCTTATACCACATGGTTCAAAGAGAGGATTACTGAGTGTACCAACACGTTAACTAAACACATAGACCCTTATACCACATGGTTCAAAGAGAGGATTACTGAGTGTACCAACACGTTAACTAAACACATAGACCCTTATACCACATGGTTCAAAGAGGGGATTACTGAGTGTACCAACACATGTTCACACACATTCTGTCCCATCTCCCCCCAAAATCGAATTACAAAATAATGATTTCTCTATTTGCTGTTTCAGATGGGAGGATTCACAGTTGTGCGAAGGCAGAAGAAAAGAGAATGAAATTAAACAGTGCTGGTCACAATGGGCTGAGCAGCACACGGTGTTCCAAATGGCACCCTATTCCCAATATAGTGCACTACTTTTGACCAGGGCCCATAGGGTGTAGGGAAAGGGGGTGCCATTTGGGACGCATCTCTAGCTTTCTCTGGGTTTGTCCAACTCATCATCTGTTTCATACCTGTCTGAAGAACCAGCCGTCTTGCAACTGTCTGTGAAAAGCTTTTGGCTTTATTAACAGTAACCACCAACTCAGAAAAAAAACAGAGAAACAAATCGTTGTGTTGTTTAGTTTTCAACCGGAGTTCCTCCTAATTGAAGGTTACTGGCTAATTTGCTGAGGCTGAAGTGAGTATGAATGTTTTACAGGCTTTAGCCTACATGTCTGTGTGTGTGAGTAAGTGGGAGAGAGAGAGAGAGCGTGAGGAAAGACAGAGAAAGAACAAAGAGTTGAGGAGAGCTCTGAAATATTCTCTTTCATAAATGGTAGAGAACATTCCGGATTCTCTTCATTAGAAGTAGATTAGGGGAGAGAGGGGTAAGTTTAGCTGAAGGGGTAAGTTGAGCCGGCATTGTTTCTAGGAAACCATACACAAAATTAATAATTTGACCAAATATTTAGGAAGAGGTGATCATTTCATGGAGTCTGAGAAGAAGAATCCACATGGACAAAGCAAGTTAGGTCCAAAAAAACGGACTATCACCAAAGTCAAATGAATTTATTGTGTTAGAGGATTCATGATGCTTGTATCTAAATCAAAGTAGATACTTTTAAGTTTGGGTCTCTCTCTATACGTTTCAATATGAGGTCCTAAACCTAGCATGAAAGTGCATCCTTGTAGCTGTGTGGGCTAATATAGACAAAAATGTTTGCCTTGGAATAAATTGAGCCAATGGCCATGGGGTAAGTTGAGACAATGGTTGAGCCAATGGCAAATTGAGCAAATTGAAGTGGGATATGAGGTTGATATGAGGTAATAACAGGGCCTGGCCTTAGGTGTTAAACCTGTGTTAAAATATGCATATAATGATTAAAGGACAAAAAGCGGTTGTGATCGTGTTGAATTGTGTTTTATGGAAATAAAGATAGTCATGGGTTTTAAAAAGGTAGTGGTAATATTTCATTCAGTACAGAAATCTGTAGGTGGCTTAACTTACCCTGTCCCGGGCTCAACATACCCCATACCCGGTGTAAGTTGTGCCAAGAGACCACATTTTGTGGACAAGCTATGTTTTCAAAACGATAATGTTTACATGAATTCTGATTATTTCCAGTGATACACAACATCCTGAAATATATGTAGATATCAAAAGAATACTATATTTCCCTTGACGGAGTGATGCTGAATATAAAAAATGCCCAATGTACCCCACTCTCCCCTAAGTGTGAGTAATATTAAAGGCCCAGTGCAGTCAACAATGTGATTTTCCTGCGTTTTACAGTGCATTCGGAAAGTATTCAGACCCCTTGACATTTTCCACATTTTGTTACGTTACAACTTTATTCTAAAATGGATTAAATCATTTTTTCTCATCAATCTACACACAATACTCCATAATGACAAAGCAAAAACTGGTTTTTAGAATTTCTTTCCAATGAAAAAACAAAACAAAACTGATATATCACATTTACATAAAGTACCAGTCAAAAGTTTGGACACACCTACTCATGGCTATTTGAAGAATCGCAAATATAAAATATATTTTGATTATATATTTTGATTTGTTTATCACTTTTTTGGTTACTACATGATTCCATATGTGTTATTTCATAGTTTTGATGTCTTCACTATTATTCTACAATGTAGAAAACAGTAAAAATAAAGAAAAACCCTTGAATGAGTAGGTGTTCTAAAACTTTTGACCAGTATTGTATGTGCGTATTCACGCATACGCACACACACGCTAGCACACACACTTTGTACACACATACATTCATTGTAATATTGTTGTATGGCGGTATTTTGTGTTGTAGATATGTAGTGGTGCAATGATGTTATATGGTGTACCGTTTTTTGTTGTGTGTGATGTGCCTTAATGTGTTTGGACCCCAGGAATCCATAATAAATGGATCCATAATAAACCCCAGGAAGAGTAGCTGCTGCCTTGGCAGGAACTAATGGGGAACCATTATAAATACTATATTTAGTGACCCAGAGAGAGTACAGTGAGGGAAAAAAGTATTTGATCCCCTGCTGATTTTGTACGTTTGCCCACTGACAAAGAAATGATCCGTCTATAATTTAAATAGTAGGTTTATTTGAACAGTGAGAGACAGAATAACAACAACAAAAAGATCTTGTTTGTGTTCCTGATAGGCTTGTGGTGTTAGCCCTTAGGATCTTCACGGTTACGTTGCTTTTGTTGTTTTGTCAAGTGTTTATTTGTTCTAATAAACATGTACGCATACCACGCTGCACCTTGGTCTGACCCGTCTCTCAACGACCGTGACAATCAGAAAGATTTCTGGCTCCCAAGTGTCTTTTATACAGGTAACGAGCTAAGATTAGGAGCACACTCTTAAAGGGAGTGCTCCTAATCTCAGCTTGTTACCTGTATAAAAGACACCTGTCCACAGAAGCAATCAATCAATCAGATTCCAAACTCTCCACCATGGCCAAGACCAAAGAGCTCTCCAAAGATGTCAGGGACAAGATTGTAGACCTACACAAGGCTGGAATGGGCTACAAGACCATTGCCAAGCAGCTTTATGAGAAGGTGACAACAGTTGGTGCGATTATTCGCAAATGGAAGAAACACAAAAGAACTGTCAATCTCCCTCGGCCTGAGGCTCCATGCAAGATCTCACCTCGTGGAGTTGCAATGATCATGAGAACGGTGAGGAATCAGCCCAGAATTACACGGGAGGATCTTGTCAATGATCTCAAGGCAGCTGGGACCATAGTCACCAAGAAAACAATTGGTAACACACTACGCCGTGAAGGACTGAAATCCTGCAGCACCCACAAGGTCCCCCTGCCCAAGAAAGCACATATACATGCCCGTCTGAAGTTTGCCAATGAACATCTGAATGATTCAGAGGAGAACTGGGTGAAAGTGTTGTGGTCAGATGAGACCAAAATGGAGCTCTTTGGCATCAACTCAACTCGCCGTGTTTGGAGGAGGAGGAATGCTGCCTATGACCCCAAGAACACCATCCCCACCGTCAAACATGGAGGTGGAAACATTATGCTTTTGGGGGTGTTTTTCTGCTAAGGGGACAGGACAACTTCACCGCATCAAAGGGACGATGGACGGGGCCATGTACCGTCAAATCTTGGGTGAGAACCTCCTTCCCTCAGCCAGGGCATTGAAAATGGGTCGTGGATGGGTATTCCAGCATGACAATGACCCAAAACACACGGCCAAGGCAACAAAGGAGTGGCTCAAGAAGAAGCACATTAAGGTCCTGGAGTGGCCTAGCCAGTCTCCAGACCTTAATCCCATAGAAAATCTGTGGAGGGAGCTGAAGGTTCGAGTTGCCAAAAGTCAGCCTCGAAACCTTAATGACTTGGAGAAGATCTGCAAAGAGGAGTGGGACAAAATCCCTGGATTTTTTTGTTGTTATTCTGTCTCTCACTGTTCAATTAAACCTACCATTAAAATTATAGACTGATCATTTCTTTGTCAGTGGGCAAACGTACAAAATCAGCATGGGATCAAATACTTTTTTCCCTCACTGTATAAGTTCACACTCGGTCTGATTTGATATACATGATGAGAGGGTAGGGATGGATGGGTGCCAGGGGTTGGAACCGAAACAGAACGATCTACATTTTTTTTTTTTACAGCCCCACAAAAAACACAACAAAGCGCTTATACAAAGCCCTCACTCTGTCACCTAGAAACTTCTTCCAGTCAGTGTCTGCATGCCAGTTGAAAACCTTTGCCAGTGTGTCGGTTACCTGCCCATTCCCCCTCCAAAGCATAGGCTACAGATGTTACATGAATTATTCAAAAAATAGGGAGAGAGATTTTTAATTAGAGAAGAATGGATTAACTTTTTCAATGCTAGTTAAGGATACAATTTTATTTATTTCAACTTTTTGGGATCCCCATTAGTCGCCGCCCAATGGCGACAGCTAGACATACTGGGGTCTAACACATAACGAAAAATACATTACAGATAAACAATTTACATACATTTAAAAACATTTACATATATTGTGTGTGTGTGTGTGTGGTGTGTGTTTGTGTGTGTGCATCACATACAGTGCCTTCCGAAAGTATTCACACACCTTGACTTATACCACTTATTTATAAAACTTATTTAGTGGGATTAAAATTGATTTAATTGTAATTTTTTGTCAATGATCTACACAAAATACTCTTAAGTCAAAGTGTAAGAACAATTCTAACATTTGTAAAGAATGTATGAAAAATAAAACACTAAAATATCTTGATTAGATAAGTATTGCATACCGCTCCAACAGATCCACAGATGATGCAATCTCTATTGCACTCCACACTGCCCTTTCCCATCTGGACAAGAGGAACACCTACGTGAGAATGCTATTCATTGACTACAGCGCAGCATTCAACACCATAGTGCCCTCAAAGCTCATCACTAAGCTAAGGATGCCTGGGACTAAACACCTCCCTCTGCAACTGGATCCTGGACTTCCTGACGGGCCGCCCACAGGTGGTAAGGGTAGGTAACAACACATCTGCCACACTGATCCTCAACACGGGGGCCCCTCAGCGGTGCGTGCTCAGTCCCCTCCTGTACTCCCTGTTCACCCATGACTGCATGGCCAGGCACGACTCCAACACCATCATTAAGTTTGCAGACGACACAACAGTGGTAGGCCTGATCACCGACAACGATGAGACAGCCTATAGGGAGGAGGTCAGAGACCTGGCCGTGTGGTGCCAGGATAACAACCTCTCCCTCAACGTGACCAAGACAAAGGAGATGATTGTGGACTACAGGAAAAAAAAGAGGACTGAGCACGCCCCCATTCTCATCGACGGGGCTGTAGTGGAACAGGTTGAGAGCTTCAAGTTCCTTGGTGTCCACATCACCAACGAACTATCATGGTCCAAACACACCAAGACAGTCGTGAAGAGGGCACGACAAAGCCTATTCCCCCTCAGGAGACTGAAAAGATTCGGCATGGGTCCTCAGATCCTCAAAAAAATTCTACAGCTGCACCATCGAGAGCATCCTGACTGGTTGCATCCCCGCCTGGTATGGCAACTGCTTGGCCTCCGACCGCAAGGCACTACAGAGGGTAGTGCGTACGGCCCAGTACATCACTGGGGCCAAGCTTCCTGCCATCCAGGACCTCTATACCAGGCGGTGTCAGAGGAAGGCCCTCAAAATTGTCAAAGACTCCAGCCACCCTAGTCATAGACTGTTCTCTCTGCTACCGCACGGCAAGCGGTACCGGAGTGCCAAGTCTAGGTCCAAAAGACTTCTCAACAGCTTCTACCCCCAAGCCATAAGACTGCTGAACAGCTAATCATGGCTACCCGGACTATTTGCACTGCCCACCCCATCTTTTTACGCTGCTGCTACTCTGTTAATTATTTATGCATAGTCACTTTAACTCTACCCACATGTACATATTACTTCAACTACCTCAACTAGCCGGTGCCCCCGCACATTGACTCTGCACCGCTACCCCCCTGTATATATAGCCTCCCTACTGTCATTTTATTTTACTTCTGCTCTTTTTTTCTCAACACTTTTTTGTTGTTGTTTTATTTTACTTTTTTATAAAAAATAAATGCACTGTTGGTTAATGGCTGTAAGTAAGCATTTCACTGTAATGTCTGCACATGTTGTATTCGGCGCATGTGGCCAATACAATTTGATTTGATTTGATTTGATATTCAACCCCCTGAGTCAATACATGTTATAATCACCTTTGGCAGCGATTACAGCTGTGAGTCTTTCTGGGTAAGTCTCTAAGAGCTTTGCACACCTGGATTGGACAATATGTCCACTTTTTGGATTATTATTATTCTTCAATCTTTGATTGGTCGGTTGGTTGGTTGGTCGGTTGGTTGGTTGGTTGGTCGGTTGGTCGGTTGTTGATCATTGCTAGACAGCCATTTTCAAGTCTTGCCATAGATTCTCAAGCATATTTAAGTCAAAACTGTAACTAGGCCACTCAGGAACATTCAATGTCGTCTTGGTAAGCAACTCCAGTGTAGATTTGGCCTTGTGTTTAAGGCTATTGTCCTGCTGAAAGGTGAATTTGTCTCCCAGTGTCTGTTGGAAAGTAGACTGAACCAGGTTTTCCTCTAGGATTTTGCCTGTGCTTAGCTCTATTCCGCTTCTTTTTATCCTAAAAAACACCCTTGTCAAGGACAAGCATACCCATAACATGATGCAGCCACCACCATGCTTGAAAATATGAAAAGTGGTACTCAGTGATGTGCTGTGTTGGATTTTCCCCAAACATAACGCTTTGAATTCAGGACATAAAGTAAATTTATTTGCCACATTTTTTGCAGTTTTACTATAGTGCCTTAATGCATGTTTTGTAATATTTGTATTCTGTACAGGCTTCCTTCTTATCACTCGGAACGGAACAATTTTTTTGGGGGATAATAATCATTAAGTTTCCAACCCCATATCATGTGGAATTATTCAGTGGTGGGTTCTCTTCTCTCGCAGAGAGAGAAAGAGGCCATGGGAGCACTGATTGAAAAAGTGTGGATTTCCACCAAGCCACTGATGAGATTCCCGTAATGTAACATGCATTAGGAGAAGGAGAGGAGAGTGGAGTGGTCAGAGTTCAAGGTGAAACTGACTGACTGGGTTTCAGAATTACCTCGTCCTGCTTTCAACAAGAACATGGCCTTCGGATATAAATATAACGGTGCACGCCGGTTGAGTAGCTGAAAACACACATACGTATTTCAGCCCCCCTTAAAGGTGGCAGGATGACATCATCATGAATCACGAACAACCTCCCACTTACCGACATCAACAATAACCCAGACAACCATTATTTGTTTTGACCAATGTTGTGCCCTCCCTCCCTGTAGCAAGCCCACATTGGGAAGAGCCAATAATGGCAGTCTTAATTGATTGATTAATTGATTGACTGACACCCTACCCGTTGTTCCTGACAAGATACGAAGGTCTGGAAGCCTGGTGCCACTCCAAAGCCCAGCTGGTCAATGAAGGGTGGCTCGTCCTGGGTGTGGATCTGGACCTTGATGCCCGCCTCAAACGACGTCTCATCTGGAGAGAGGTAGGGAAAGACAGGAAACATCCCAGAAACTGATGTCAGAAACAACAGCATGTTCAGTGTAAAATGAAGCACCAGGTATTAGTCAGTCTGATTTCATTCAACTGGAAAGTGAAAAAAAAACGGAAAATCTGATCACAATTAGGAATCAGAAGAACAGATGAATGTCATAATGATAGCCTACCCCCTAGCCTATCCCCTAACATCATCTAGAATAAAAGCACCTCCTCCCAGCTACCCACTGCACTGAGGTTAGGAAACACTGTCACCAATGATAAATCTACGATAATCGCAAATTTCAATAAGCATTTTGCTACGGCTGGCCATGCTTTCCACCTGGCTACCCCTACCCCGGCCACCAGCTCTGCACCCTCTGCTGCAACTTGCCCATGCCCCCCCCCCCCCCGCTTCTCCTTCACCCAAATTCAGATAGCTGATGTCCTGAAAGAGCTGCAAAATTTGGACCCCTACAAATCAGCTGGGCTAGACAATCTGGACCCTTTCTTTCTAAAATTAGCCGCCGACATTGTCGCAACCCTATTACTAGCCTGTTCAACCTCTCTTTCGTATCGTCTGAGATCCCCAGAGATTGGAAAGCTTCCGGTCATCCCCCTCTTCAAAGGGGGTGACACTCTAGATCCAAACTGTTACAGACCTATATCCATCCTACCCTGCCTTTCGAAAGTATTTGAAAGCCAAGTTAACAAACAGATCACCAACCACTTCGAATCCAACCGTACCTTCTCCACTATGCAATCTGGTTTCCGAGCTGGTCATGGGTGCACCTCAGCCACACTCAAGGTCCTAAACTATATAATAACCGCGATTGATAAAAGACAGTACTGTGCAGCCGTCTTCATCGACCTGGCCAAGGCTTTTGACTCTGTCAATCACAGCATTCTTATTGGCAGACTAAATAGCCTTGGTTTCTCAAATGACTGCCTCGCCTGGTTCACCAACTACTTTTCAGATAGAGTTCAATGTGTCAAATCGGAGGGCCTGTTGTCTGGACCTCTGGCAGTCTCTATGGGGGTGCCACAGGGTTCAATTCTCGGGCCGACTCTATTCTCTGTGTATATCAATGATGTCGTTCTTGCTGCTGGTGACTCTCAGATCCACCTCTACGCAGACGACACCATTTTGTATACATCTGGCCCTTCATTGGACACTGTGTTAACAAACCTCCAAACGAGCTTCAGTGCCATACAACACTCCTTCCGTGGCCTCCAACTGCTCTTAAACGCTAGTAAAACTAAATGCATGCTCTTCAATCGAACGCTGCTTGCACCCACCCGCCCGACTAGAATCACTACTCTCGGCGGGTCTGACTTAGAATATGTGGACAACTACAAATACCTAGGTGTCTGGTTAGACCGTAAACTCTCCTTCCAGACTCACATTAAGCATCTCCAATCCAAAGTTAAATCTAGAATCGGCTTCCTGTTTCGCAACAAAGCCTCCTTCACTCATGCTGCTAAACATGCCCTCGTAAAACTGACTATCCTATCGATCCTTGACTTCGGCGATGTCATTTACAAAATTGCTTCCAACACTCAACTCAGCAAATTGGATGTAGTCTATCACAGTGCCATCCGTTTTGTCACCAAAGCCCCATATACTACCCACCATTGTGACCTGTACACTCTCGTTGGCTGGCCCTCACTACATATTCGTTGCCAAACCCACTGCCTCCAGGTCATCTATAAATCACTTCTAGGCAAATCCCCGCCTTATCTTAGCTCATTGGTCACCATAGCAACACCCACCCGTAGTATGCACTCCAGCAGGTATATCTCACTGGTCATCCCCAAAGCCAACACCTCCTTTGGCCGCCATTCCTTCCGGTTCTCTGCTGCCAATGACTGGAACGAACTACAAAAATCTCTGAAGCTCGAGACACTTATCTCCCTCATTAACTTTAAGCATTAGTTGTCAGAGCAGCTTACCGATCACTGTACCTGTACACAGCCCATCTATAATTAGCCCATCCAACTACCTCATCCCCATATTGTTATTTACATTGTTATTTATTTTGCTCATTTGCACCCCAGTATCTCTATTTGCACATCATCTTCTGCACATCTATCACTCCAGTGTTAATACTAAATTGTAATTATTTTGCACTATGGCCTATTTATTGCCTTACCTCCATAACTTACTACATTTGCACACACTGTATATAGATTTTCTATTTTCTATTGTGTTATTGACTGTACGTTTTTGTTTATTCCATATGTAACTCTGTGTTGTTGTTGTTTTTATCACACTGCTTTGCTTTATCTTGGCCAGGTCGCAGTTGTAAATGAGAACTTGTTCTCAACTGGCTTACCTGGTTAAATAAAGGTGAAATAAAATAAATAAAAAATTGCCCCATCCCCTATCTATATCCTACCCCCATGCCATAGCCCCATCCCCTATCTATATCCTACCCCCATGCCATAGCCCCATCCCCTATCTATATCCTACCCCCATGCCTAGCCCCATCCCCTATCTATATCCTACCCCCATGCCATAGCCCCATCCCCTATCTATATCCTACCCCCATGCCATAGCCCCATCCCCTATCTATATCCTACCCCATGCCATAGCCCCATCCCCTATCTATATCCTTACCCCATGCCATAGCCCCATCCCCTATCTATATCCTACCCCATGCCATAGCCCCATCCCCTATCTATATCCTAACCCCCATGCCATAGCCCCATCCCCTATCTATATCCTACCCCCATGCCATAGCCCCATCCCCTATCTATATCCTACCCCCATGCCATAGCCCCATCCCCTATCTATACCTACCCCCATGCCATAGCCCCATCCCCTATCTATATCCTACCCCCATGCCATAGCCCCATCCCCTATCTATATCCTACCCCCATGCCATAGCCCCATCCCCTATCTATATCCTACCCCCATGCCATAGCCCCATCCCCTATCTATATCCTACCCCCATGCCATAGCCCCATCCCCTATCTATATCCTACCCCATGCCATAGCCCCATCCCCTCAAATCCTACCATCCTATCCTACCCCCATCCATAGCCCCATCCCCTATCTATATCCTACCCCCATGCCATAGCCCCATCCCCTAGCCCCATCCCCTATCCATCCCCTACCCCCATGCCATAGCCCCATCCCCTATCTATATCCTACCACCCCCCATGCCATAGCCCATCCCCTATCTATATCCTACCCCCATGCCATAGCCCCCATCCCCTATCTATATCCTACCCCCATGCCATAGCCCCATCCCCTAGCCACATTCCCTACCCCCATGCCATAGCCCCATCCCCCTATCTATATCCTACCCCCATGCCATAGCCCCATCCCCTAGCCCCATTCCCTAGCCACATTCCCCCCCCCCATGCCATAGCCCCATCTCCTAGCCCCATCCCACTGGTTATAATGTTTTTAGATCTGATTGAGTTGGCAGAGGAGGGGGTGTCTCCATATACATAAAGAGCAACTTAAATGTTTCTGTATCCATTACCACCTCTGTCCCTAAGCAATTTGAATGTCTAGTCCTATATGTGGGCCTTGGTCATAATGTCCATTTGACACTAGTGGGACTTTATCGCCCTCCCTTATGTGCTCTTAACAAATTGTCTGACCTGCTGTCTAACTATACTAAATCCTAATCATTAATAGGGTGATCTTAATCTGGATTGGCTGATGCCAGTATCTGATTGGCTGAAAGATATTTGCACTGAGCTAAATCTAACTCAGCTGATAACTAAACCAACTCGAGCCCGGACTTGAACCCGATCAAACATCTCTGGAGATTCCTGAAAATAGCTGTGCAGTGACTGTCCCCATCCAACCTGACAGAGCTTGAGAGGATCTGCAGAGAAGAATGGGAGAAACTCCCCAAATGCAGGTGTGCCAAGCTTGTAGCGTCACACCCAAGAAGACTCGAGGCTGTAATCGCTGCCAAAGGTGCTTCAACAAAGTACTGAGTAAAGGGTCTGAATACTTATGTAAATGTGATATTTCAGATAGGGCATGGATAGGGGATGGCTAGGGGATGGCTAGGGCATGATAGGGGATGGCTAGGGGATGATAAGGGATGGCTAGGGGTTAGATAGGGATGGATGGGGCTAGGGGATGGGGCTAGGGGATGGATAGGGGATGATAAGGGATGGCTAGGGGTTAGATAGGGATGGGGCTAGGGGATGGGGCTAGGGGATGGGGCTAGGGGATGGATAGGGGATGATATGGGATGGCTAGGGGTTAGATAGGGATGGGGCTAGGGGATGGGGCTAGGGGATGGATAGGGGATGATAAGGGATGGCTAGGGGTTAGATAGGGATGGGGCTAGGGGATGGGGCTAGGGGATGGGGCTAGGGGATGGGGCTAGGGGATGGATAGGGGATGATAAGGGATGGCTAGGGGTTAGATAGGGATGGATGGGGCTAGGGGATGGGGCTAGGGGATGGGGCTAGGGGATGGATAGGGGATGATAAGGGATGGCTAGGGGTTAGATAGGGATGGGGCTAGGGGATGGGGCTAGGGGATGGGGCTAGGGGATGATAGGGGATGATAAGGGATGGCTAGGGGTTAGATAGGGATGGATGGGGCTAGGGGATGGGGCTAGGGGATGGGGCTAGGGGATGGATAGGGATGGGGCTAGGGGATGTTTATAAAATGTTTTGTTCTTTATTTACAGTGTTCGGAAAGTATTCAGACCCCTTGACTTTTTCCACATTTTGTTACGTTACAGCCTTATTCTAAAATTGATTAAATAGTTATTTTTTCCTCTTCAATACCCTATAATGACAAAGCAAAAACGTTTTTTTTTATTATTTTTTTTACACTGAAATATCACATTTACATAAGTATTCAGACCCTTTACTCAGTACTTTGTTGAAGCACCTTAAAGACTTAAGTGATTACAGACTTACAGTGGGGGAAAAAAGTATTTAGTCAGCCACCAATTGTGCAAGTTCTCCCACTTAAAAAGATGAGAGAGTCCTGTAATTTTCATCATAGGTACACGTCAACTATGACAGACAAATTGAGAAAAAAAATTCCAGAAAATCACATTGTAGGATTTTTAA